AGTTACAGGGTAACAGAAGCGTTCAGGTTGGAAGGGACATTTAGAGATAATCTGGTCCAACCGCGCTGCTCAAGCAGGGACGCCCAGAGCACATTGCAGAGCATCACATCCAGGTGGCTTTTGAGTATCTCCAATATCCCGAATGCGGACAAAAATTCAGGGGTGCCCCTGGGCCCGGGAATGTCCCGAATGTTTCCGACAGTCCTATCTAAAAGCCAGCCTCACATGTGCGCCCAAAGCTTATAAAACTGAATCATCCAATTCTTTATCATTCACTGCCTGATGATGCCTGATCCGTTTTGTTTTCAGTCRTGTCCTGAATCATCAGGACTGACCCCATATAAAGGTATAAATTCTGGAAGCAGCTTCTGCCTTATGGTTTTAGGTGGCATGAAAATCTGTGCTTTTCAGCCCAAACTAAGACTGAAAAATTTCATTGTTTCATTTCATACTTCCTCTTGACTGCTTAGAAGCAAATTTGTTGTCTGATACCTGCCTAAATGGGCCTCTTAGACCTGCCACAGTGACACCAATTCTATCTGCAGGTTCCCAGCCCCAAACCAGCAAAGATTTAAGAAATAAAAGGACTGTAAGAAGCTTATCACCAAGTTTTTCTTCTACACACAAACGATTCTGACGCCCTGAATAATGCCCACTCTTTCCTGAAATTGGTGTAGTTGTACAACTGCAATGCTTCGTGTTGGGTAAGCTGCTGAAGTCAGGCATCCTGCCTRATGTATAAAAAACAAGGCTAAACAAGTGGATTATACATTATGTCCCACTTCTGAACATCACCTTCACAGAAAATACGCACTAAATGATAAATGATAATGGGGAAGGAAATGCCAGCTGCCTTAATGAATGGTGGTGGGCAGATCTGGGGGGAAAAAAATAATAATACCTTATTATATTCCCTTTGACATAAACTAACCTTGACCCAGAACAATAGTGCTGCTCTCCAGGAGAAAATAACAGCAGCTGTAATCATGGTGYAGGAGACTAGTGCAAGCTGGTTTGTATTTTTTCTTTGTTGTTAAAATTCTGCTTCATATGGTGAGAAACTCACTTTTGGACTGGTGGGGAATTTCATCCCTGTCAGTGGGGATGGTTCAACGYTTAAGTCTGCTCTCCGGCTGTGAACACTCATGTGTTATTACTTTTGCCAGGGTTCTGAGAGATTTGCTCGCTCTCCTTTGCATTGCACAGATCTGCAGTGAGGATGGGTAAAGAAAAGCCAAGTAAAAATCACCGGGGAGCATTTGCATCTAGAATAGCAGATGAGCGAGGATTTCTCCCCCCTATGTACCCAAAGCCCCTGGTTCACTCAGKAGATACCACATCAACGCACTGAAACAGCCTTCCTAGAGGTCCTCTCCCAGGCAAGGAGGATCTAAGAACCAGGTCTACCAAAAGCACAGTCAGCTTCTGCCTAAATGAGAGTTTTGGAAGGAATCTCCACACACTGTGAGTTTCTCAGTCTCTTCCACACCTCTCTCCATGCCTCYCTCCTCTCCCTGCACTCTTAAAGATCCTGCAGCAGACACGGCAATTGCAGGTTACATTATTCAAGTCCGGGTGCAGCCACCGTGCAGAAGTGTTTGCATGGGGAGAGGAGCCTCGGGAACTCACTTGTATCCRAGATCTGTGGATGGCTTGATCCTCAAAACAAACAGCCCATGCTTAAGAAGCATCCGTTTCGAAAATGTATTTTTAACTTTGTGGTTTTGCTTGTAACTCGGCCCCTTTTCAAGTCAAAGGAGCACCCTGCAGCTCACCAGTCTTTCCATGACCTGTCAGTGCATGAGATATAGAAGTAAAATGTGTTCTCGCGTGGCATGCGATAGTAGCACATTCTTTATTTCTGAGTCTTTATTCATAAAAATGCAATGTGTGCATTGCTATAAATTATTATTCATAATTTTTTATACTGTAATAAATGAAATTAAAATATCAAACAGAGATACACAGGAAAAGCCAGACTGGTTGAGAGCAGTGGTTCACCTAATATCCTGTCTCCAGCATCGGCTGGTATCAGATGCTGCAGATAAAAGTAGAAGAAACCATATAGTAGCCTGTTACGAATTAACATGCCCAGGAGAGAAGTTTCTTCCTGACCCTCATCAGTTAGTGGTTGACTTATATGCCAAAGTATACATTACTATACATGCTCACATATTTATATGTATCTCTAGCAAGAAGCATATGACCATACTCTGATTCTGACTCCTGGTATTTTTGCTTACAGGAAAGTCATTCTGAGGAAAGAATTTTCTTCACCACAAGAGGCTTGCACGAGAGATGCTGGGGAGAGAGCTGAGACGCACAGCCTAGTAAGGGAAATTACCTTTGCAAACAGCAGTTGAAATATGCCCATTTTTAAAATGTTTGAGGGATTTTGAGTGCTTATCTCAGTACCATCTCATACTTCTCAGTAGCTTTACCTATGTAATTAAGCAAATCCTCATGCATGTAAATATTTGTAGAATGAGCTAATTAAGTAGATTTCATATTATGCACTTTTTTTTTTCCCCCTGAAAATCAGAGGATTATAGTTGAAAATATGGTTGGAAAGTTCACGGTAGCATTGACCCTTCCTGTATCATTCCTGACAGATGGTTTTCAACTGGCTCTTGAAAGCCATCACCATCAATATTCCAAGTCCTTTCCAGAGACCTGGGCCACTGCTCTTACACCTTCCAGAAGACAGTTTTTCCTAATGTCTAATGAAACTCTTTGGCTTCAGTTTAAACCCACTTCCTGYCCTACTCACCACATATAGGGAACAGACTGTCCCTTGAGCTTCATTTTTTTGTGTGTGTGTCTGAAGATTGTTTCTGTGTCTCCTCTGTCTTCTCTTCTTTGGACTCAAACACCTTCAGCTCTTTCAAAACTTCATCTTTCGAGATCTTGGGATTTTATTCTGTGTGGTGCCCAACATTCAATAATATCAACAGGCCAAGACTCTGAAAAGATACTTCAAAGTGTGGAAGGATTACATGTCGTGATGATTATATCCTATTTTATACATCCTGTATGGTGTTTTTTGCAACGCCACATAATTACGGAGTGCTTTACACATTTTCCTACTCAATTCTTTCCCATTTTTTTTTTCTTCAGATCATTTCCCCAATATCTGCCAGCCCTAAAATCCAGGATACATCCAAGATGAGATGTTTTGTCCTGCCAGTTATTGACAGATGTTGCTAATGATGCAGCATATAAGATAGGATAATTAATGAGTCTAGGAATAATCGTTTACCTTCAGGCTTGTTAATATGGTTGGTTTTACTTAAAGGGATTAGATATGATCCAGAATACAAGTGATAGCAAAAATGAAATGCAAGATACATTTTTTTTTAAACACAGCAATACCATTGTATGCAGTAAGGCTCAGAAAAAAAATCAGCATGCCATTTTTCTTCATTATACATGATGAATTCATAAAACTTTGTTAGTCAGAATGATGAGATAGACTCATCTGACCTAATTTAGCAGTCTAAAAATTAAAAGTTATCCAGCATTTCCACACCACTCATCCTGTCTCCTTCAACAATTAATAGAGATGGATGGACATATCCAGGATAAGTCCAACCTACTGCCTTGAGCTCTCTCAACACCCATATTAGAATGGGATGAACTCCACTGGGAAAACAAAAAGACTGCCAATAACTGGAGAACCTTGACCAGTAAGTAGAGACTTAGCTTCTTAGTGGATAAATCACAGTTTAGGCAAAAGATCAGAGGTAATTACTTCTGTGTTATCAGAATAACTAAAACATGAATCAAATTAATCATAATCATCAGAAGAAAGGCATGGTGAAATATTGTATATTAGATAATAACAGAAATGTGCACAGTGTGGAACTCCCATGTCATAGGCAACTTCAAAATACTGATAATTAGTCTTTTTTTTTCCCAAACCGAGCTGACAGCTGAAATATATTGAATTTCTCTGTGAAGGATCATTTTTGCAAAATCACTGCAGGTAAATTAAAATCCTTCTCTTTGACAAATTCATACTGTTTGTTGTCCACATTGATCCTTTTTCTTTCTTAAGAAGCAAAATATACCAAAATAAAAGCAAGACTGACATTCTGAAATGAAAAGACATTTAGAGTCRAAGTCCTGGAAAGCTCATTCTGAAACTAGGCTGCTCTTCCTCTTTGAGGCTCGACCTGATTTTGCTGATTTTAAACTTGAGGTCTCTTTTTGATTTCTGAAGGATGCAAATGAGCAGGTTTGGCCATCAGAGCCACGAAACAAAATCTTAGTGCAGACCCGAGCCATCTGACATACCACATACCTCAAACTGCYGAGGGAGGGGCAGTTCTGGGAATGACTCGCAACCAGGAAATTAGAAAAACTCTCCAGGATCCAACTGTGGAGCCCACAGGGCTGGGAAGGGTGTGAGCAGGTTTCTGAGCTATCCAGTAATACTGGCTTCAGTTTCCACACCAGTTTACTCTCTCCCATAATGAAGAGCCTCACAAATTTCCCAATATAATCCCTGGCTTTATTTGACTTGCTAGAGAGGTGCCTTTGTCATGGAAGAGCAATCGTCCGCTCTGATGCTGGGGGAGTTTCAGAGCCTCCTGGAGCAATTGGGAGCTGGGCTTCCAAATAAACTAGACAGCTTCGAGAAATCTGACCTGCAGGGCACACTATATTGTTTTTGTTCCCTGACTAGATCATTATCTCTGTCTTGGCATGTCCAACATTGGTCCCTGCGGGGTAGTAAAGAGTTGAGAATGAGTTTGCTCAACTACAGTAGCTGTCTAGTCAACCCAGTGCAAGCTGTTTTACTGTGCCAATGCTAATCTGTTACTGATACCCAYACTGAACAGTATGGAGCTCATTCAAGCAGCTGAGCTCTGTATTGCAATGTAGGCATGCTGTCAAAGTGAGGTTTATAATATAAATACTTGTGCATATGTTCATTGTTTATATTCTAAAAGCTGTGCTGCATGAAGTTTGGAAGGGATTTTAAATGCAGTGGAAAGCTAGATTTGGGATTCCAGTGACAGTCTRCTTAAGGTCACAGCTGCTTTCTGATAAGAAACTTCTCCAGAAGGCTCATTGACAGCTGCCACTGGGTCTTCTGGCTCTTGACAACTGGTGATCAGGGCAACTGCACTAAATGACTTTTGGTTTGTGCTAAATGGCTTGATCTCCAGTGCTGGCGTCTCTCTTTCTCTGTCCTGTGCATTTTCAGTTCTGTTCCATTCTTGCTCCTTACGATTTAGTTGTTTGGCACTGCAGTAAGGAGCATAAACCTCTGTGGTTTCTTCAAACTGYAAGCAATCCACTTTATAGTATTTTTTCTTTACGTGCAAAACGTCGTTAAACCTGTGGCCCCAAAGAATCTCTCTGGGGACATATGAGCTTCGTGACTGATGTGAGGTCCCCGTTGAATCACCTGTGTAGACAAACGTAACCAAGATCTCAAAGTTATCCTTGGCCAGAGCTTTCCGGTCGAGACCATACAAGGGGCTCTCGCTGTCGATTTCATGGACAACCGTCACGGGAGTCACAAGTATGATTTGGTCGTTTAGCAGCTTCAGGTCCTTGTATTCCATGGTCATTCTGCCTTCCTTGTCTTCCCGGTAGCGCAGCATTTGAGCCCGCACGGAGCCCTCCACCATGTGGTTTGGGCGGAAATCCCCAATGCGCCACATGAGGCAAAATTTGTCATCCCTCAAGCCTACCACCGCGTAGTAGCTGAAACGAATGGTTTGAGCTCTTTTCCGAGCGGTGGCCATTTTAGCCAGGGCTGCTCCAATTATGAACGTGTCGATGATGCAGCTTAACACTGACTGGAGGATAACCATGAGGATGGCGACAGAGCACTCTTCCGTAACGCAGCGGTAACCGTAACCGATGGTCGTTTGGGTTTCAAGAGAGAATAAGAATGCCCCTGTGAAGCTGTGGACATTCGCAACRCAGGGGGTTATTTCTTCATCGTCGAATAAATCTCCATGTTGGATTGCTATCAGCCAGAAGACTAGTCCAAAAAACAGCCAAGAGAGAACATAGGAGAGTGAGAATATCACAAACATATGGCGCCACTTGATGTCCACTAATGTGGTAAATATGTCTACTACGTAGCTCTCCCATTCCCCAAAGATGTGTTTGAAGTACACATTGCAGCTGCCATCCTTGTGGAGAAATCTCTTCTGCARTCTTTTCATCCCCTTTTCAGGGCTTTTTGGACATGAGCCTTGGTAACTGGGCTTATTTCCTTGTGTGTTTACAGGCTGATAGCAACCACTCTGTTCAGTCGTCTTTCTCATATCTGCCTCGTAACATCAGTTCACCAAGCACATGTGGTCCCAGTAGCTTTCTCTATTCATTGGAAATCTAGGAAGTAAAAGAAAAATGTTAGTTTTGTTTTAATTTCCTATGCTGCGACTCTGCAACACCTAAACTAAATATATCCACTGTGTAGCATTTTTTGAAGAACGCAGACTCTGACATTAATTATACAAAATAACTTAAAAACTCAGAAACCTGGAAACATCAGGCAGCTAGAAATACAACATAGCTAGAAATTTCCAGATCTGTCTTAAAACTTGGTATGTAGATGAAAACAGAGATCAGAAACCTTTGTGGTGACCCCACTCTATGCTTCTAATGTTTTGAAGAAATAGCATTCGGATCAGGATGGGCTCTCAAGAGCACTCATAGGAATGCAGGTAGCCCTTTACGGTAGACAAGATATTTGAGATAATTATTTGTCTGTTGCATGTTGGTTTGCATGTTCTTACATTAGAAGAAATACCTGGAAAAACATCTCCATTTTGCTGGAAGAATCCAGTGGCATGGGCAAGCAAATTTTTAATGTGTCTTACTAATAATGTGTCACAAAATCTTAAGTTTTCAATGGAAAACGGAAAGTGCTTTCCACATTTTTAAGCTGGTTTCAGCTGAAGAAAAGTTCATATGTAGGTTTACAGGGAAGCCAATATATTCATGGAAAATGAATTTACAAAACCTCTCCCAGTGGTAGTCTTTTTCCTCAGCTCTTCATTCACTTTGCCTGAGTATAAATGACTGCACACACTTTAGGGCAGAAGAGAGGCAGGCCCAGAATGTAATATATATTGGATGGACTAGATTAACAGACCAAGAACTCTTCTTCCATCCAAGGAACAATGACAAGCATGCACAGACACTATTCCAAAAACACTTAAAAGCCAAACATAGTTTCCATTTCTTTTTTCTTTTCTCTCTTTTTTTTTTCTTTTAGTACAGAAATGAATGTGACATATGGTGTCGTAGCCTCAGAATGTGGCCTTCATTAAAAAACACAACATTAATGTTTCCAAAAATACTTCTTGGAATACAGTCTTTGGAAACATTCATATGACTTGCTTTACTCATGGCTTTAAACAAACACTGGAGCCCAGCTCACTGGAGACTCTTGACCTAACATTTATAAGTCTTATATAACAACAAACAAAAACTGGAAACTACTGAGTTATTTTTTTAAGAACCTCATAATGTGAGGTGTGAAAATGAAGCAAATTGTAATGAGGAGCCAATATAACCTTAAATAAAAAACACATTTAGGCTTATAATGTTTTTATTATTGACTGATTCAAGCTCTTGTCCCTTGAAAATACTCACAAACATCCTGGGACTCTAAAAGGGACAAAACAGTTCCCAAATCAAAGCTACTGACTTGACTCCACTCTCTACTGCTGCCATCAGCAAATCATCATATTTCAAAAATGGTGTTTTGTTGGCATGATCTAAGTGTTGCTGTTGCTGGCAGCAATCACACACGCTGTCACACATGCAGCTATGTGGAAAAGTTCACTTTGACTTTCGGTAGTCTCTTTCAGTAGCCCCAAGACAGAAATTTGAGGCAACTATAAAGGATCTTGTACCRGGAACTCTAATTCTACTTATGTTGTCCTCCATAGCACAGGTAATAGTTGTATATATATATTTAGGCTCATGAATATCTGTGTTGGGTTTTGGGCTGGTATAAATGAAGCCACACAGTAGGATGATGGGGAGGACTTTGCAAAACAGTTAATTGCATGTCTATAATAAGAGAGAGAACATGGTGCTGAGATTCCCAAACCAGCACCAAATATTCTAGCTTCAGAGCTGGGTAAAATAGTACAGAATAAGTGCAGGGCAACACTAACACATATATATTATATATATTGCTCTTAGGGTCTGAGTTAATCTCTCTGTGTGTTGAAAATTGGATTGCTCTGAGCCACTTGGCACAGCACAGTGGAGACGTGCCCCAAATGACCTAAGATCCCAAATGTGCTTGACATTCTTAGGAAATCGCCTCCTGAGTCAATCAAAACCATCTAAAAATGTTGCCCAGTATTTTGGGCGTGCTCTAAAATGAGCCAGATTTGAACTTTTCCAGGCTACTTCTTAAAGTCTSCCGAGCACAATAATAATTATGTGTCATAATTATGAACTCTTTTTTTACATGATCTGATGTTGCTCAGGACATTCTTAAAGTATAAAAGAACCTCCCTCAACATTTCTGAATTATGTAAGTCAGTGTTATGCTCCACACTTCATTCATGGGAATAATAACGAGGCACGTGATTTTCCCCTTTCAGAGGCGAGGTGGGGAGGATAGGAAGTCAGATCAGATGTTCATTGCTCAGCCTACTGAGACTGCAGAACAGTCCTAAGACGCTTATTACTACCAAATCTTAAGCAGACTTAGGAATATAAATCTTAGAGACCTTGCACAAATCTTGTTTTTCAAAATGGACAAAATATTTTGCACAACTCAAAGAAACCAGTATGAATTGCATTAAAGGTCGTGCTACCTGGTAAAGGTTAGCAAGGGGAGTGGGGGAGGATTTTAAAACATTTTCTGCCCACTAAAGCTCATGGATCAGTTGCTGCAAATGGTTCTCAGATGTCGCCAGGAAGTGTTTTCACCTTCCTCTAAGGCTGAGACACAAACCCTTGCTTATTTTTGCTTTTACTTTCTATGGAGCTGCTGTTGTTTCTGGGCATGTATGCACACATTATGAACCTCCTCTAGCACTTTGTTTTGTTCTTTAGAGCAGGAAGGGTGATGAAATTTACAGGACTTTTGTTACTCATACTTACAAATATATTTGCCTCCCAAAAAAGAAAAACTTATCAGAGCTAAAAATGGAGCAGTGAAGCTAGGCAGGATAGAAGTGAGATAGAAATAGAGAAATCTCAGCATTTCCACTGGAGTAAATGCCACATATGGTTCAGAATTCCTCCCAAAGCATATATAGGGATCAGTCTCAGAGTTCTGAAAATCAGCTAGATACTATTAATTATCTGACCCAAAGGTAGGATCTTGCTGTGTTGGCTACTCAAACATATTCATGGGATCAGCATATTGGCCACCAAAACTGGTATCTATGAAAATCTCCCCCCAGCTAGATATGAGAGGTAAGTAATATTCCCATATTTAAAAGGGATTAAAGCGGTTCAGTGGCTGAATCGGGAACTAAAGCAGTATCTACTTATACCCAGTGAAGAGCTACTACACAGGAAACAGCAGAAGCCTTTCTAGTGTATTTATTATTTTTACCTCGTCCCTCTTGGATAGAGTAGCTGCAGCAGCAGAACTTGAACTCTGATTTTCATCAACTTGCTCAGAATATCAGTGATATATAAGTATCTAGTTTTGTCTTCTGAAGGCTTTCAGTAAATTCAATTTTCAATTTAATCATGGCATTTTGAGTTTAGGGCTCACTATCTTACTAGCTTTATTCTCGTATTGCACCTTAACCTAATATGTACTGAGCTGTTGTTACACCCATTTTATGACTATGTTTCCCCATTATGCAAACAAGTAGGGGTGAATTTTTGTTCAGTGACAACTTCAGTCAACGGCCTGTTTGTAAAACATTAAACAAAACAATGTGAACATCTTGGTTCCAGAATAGTGCTCTTCTGAGAAGGAGATTAAATCAAAAAGAAAACAACTTGAATCCTTCAAATGCAATTGGGTATTCTGACTCCAACGCCCGGCCCGGAGCAGAGCKCACGTTAGCACTGGGTTAGCAGTCACCCCAGTTTCCTGTTGCATCTTGGAAATGGTTTGAAAGGTTTCCAGTTTTAGTTATTGCTGTGTAACCCTGAAAAACTTTCAATTCAGAGACCAGAAATGTGATGAGCTGAAGCCTTCTGAGCTACCTTGGAAATCACTCAAATGCTTGCTCCTTAAAATAAATAAATAAATAAATAATCCCCACAAAATCTAAATAAATCTATTATAGGATGGCATTGAAGCACTTCCTTCTTTCCTTCCTTCCTTCCTTTCACTGTTCTTCTTTGGAAAGGGATCTAGCTTCTCGTAATACTTATGGCCAGGCCTTCCTGCTCCGCTCCATATTGCTCTGAAATGTGCTCYCCGGAGCGGGCTTGGAACACATCCRGATTCACTATTTTTCTATCTCCTGCCCATGTCTTACCAGCCTGCAGAGGTGTTGGCCAACAGTTTCCAACAACTAAGCTTCAGGACATAAAAGAGTTCTAAATTTGCTGCCTGCGTGGATTGCAAGTTTCATTCTTAGCCTGTAAGAGGGAGACATTATTATGGTGATAAAGCTTTCGTGCATCGTCTTTGAAAGCATAAAAAACTACAGTGATTTCTCAGTTTAGAAAGTATCCGATGTCCTTGTTCTCTAACAAATTAGGGTGGAAAATACCTCTAAGTCTCACCGTTAAAAAAATTTTATATGAAAAGTATTTCTTTTATGTTTAATGCCAAGCACCCCAGTTCAGGTATCCACAAATGATTAAGGGACATCTCTATAAGGGGAAGGGGAATGAAAAATCATCCAAAGTGAATGAATCTGGGAAGCAGAGATGTAGGAGAGGGCTCACACCTGACCAGAAACACTTTCCCATCATTATGTGTTTCTGTGCTGGCTTTACCAGTACTGAGATCAYGCCTCAGTTGGCAGTTTTGATCACAGAATCTTCTTAGGTCCATAGTAAATTTAAAAATAAAAGTTTTGKTTTATTTCTTTATTTGAAGATTGAGCAATCTTTGAATAAGCTAGGCTCAGAGCTGGCTAAAAAGGCTATTCCCTGGATTCCATATTCAAAACCTCAGCACAAAGAGAAGGCTTAAAGTATCAATATAAAAGTGTTTATTAAACATTTGAGAAGACAGACATAAATAGCACAGTGCAGCAGACATTTGCATAGATTTTATAGTCATACAAGAGCACTGTAATCTGCACTGGAACAACTCACAGTAACAGATATATTGATATTTAATTCATCTAAGTGAAACCAGATCTCCTTAAAA